CGGGTTTAGTTTAGGGCTTAGGGTTCTGGGGGTTTGGAGTTTGGGGGCTAAGGGCACAGGGTTGCAGATGTCGGGATCAGCTTCTTTGTTGGCCGAGGCAATTCTGATATCGGGGCCATCTGCGCCTCAATACTTAGAGTAGGGTTTAGGGTTTNNTAGGGTTTGGGGTGTAGGGTTTGTGGGTACATGCTTGTGGGGTAATCATGTAGGTTTCTATCTTAGTTCGTAGACGGCTTGCAGTAGGCAAGGGCATTCCAATCCGTTCGAGTCTTGCTGGCAGGCGTGAGCACTTGCAGCAGAGGGTTAAAAACACAACCAAAGCCACAACCCATTCTGGACTCGCGACAACTCAACTTGCATGCCGTTCAAAACCTCTGCAGCGTGACCTGGGGGCACGCACATGTATGCATGTATCATATGCACGCATGGGTACTGAATGGTGACCAGGTTGTCCTGAGCGCAGATCGGCATACTCGAGCTAAGTTTAAGTCGTTATACTTGAATGTACACTTGAATGGAAGACTGCACGGAAGCAGTAGGCGTAATGATGTGACATCTCTGAGGGTCTTAGACACTGTATAACTAGGCCGTTCCCAGAATACCCCTTAGACCCCTGACATGCATCTCACAGTTCGCTGCTACTTCTTCCGAGAGAGAACGAAGGGCTTTGTTGGGCTTCTTCCCAGAGAGAACGAAGGGCTTCGTAACCCGGTAATTCAGTTAACTACCACATCTATTGAAGATAAAACCCCATACACCGGAACCTTGGTGGTTCATCTGGCACTTTCTGCAACGATGCCTTCAGGCGGCAGTGAAGACTGAACGGAGGAGGACCGGCCTGCGCCAGACGTCGCCCGTCGGCTTAGGCTTAGTGACTGCAGGTGTTGTAGTCAGGGTTGAGACTGTTGAATAAGGGGGCTTTTCAACAAATATCAATGCTTATTTTGGCGTTCCTGATTACTTATAAAAGAAGGATAATATGCTCCAAAATCCTTTGCTAATTTTTAAGGCCCCTTTTACGGGGGTGCACGCTCAGCTCGGGGTGTTGGGCAGGTCGAGACAGCACATGCAACGTCGGAGTTTCATGTTTCGGGGCTGAGGGTTCAGGGGTTTAGGG